TTGCACATTTCTTCACAAATATAATAACTAAAGATGTATTTGGTGCCTCTTAAGTGAAAACAGTATAAACATATCATCTACCATTTTAACTGATAATATCAAATTTTTGATGTTATCAAAACAAAGGTTTTGTGGTACCCTTGCCAAAAGCAAATCAACTAGGATCCCTAGTAGAGTCTTTGTACAAGGAAAGACATTTTGAGGGGTCTATAACTGGACTTCAGGGTTTATATAATCTTGTATAGAAAGTATTTAAAGGTAGATTTACATCCTGAAATCTCTTTTCACAGTTGCTCAAGAGAAAAAAAAAACTCTTCTCATTAATTTGTAAGTAATGAACTCAGTCTAAATTCATACTCTTAGTTTTGTGAACTGTTTTTTCTGAATGACTTACTATGAATTTTTCTTCTAATATTTTAAGGCATGTATTACTCTATCATGCTAAATATTTATCATCATTATTTAAGTAGTAACCAGAAACACACAAGAATAGCAAATGGAGAACTGGAGACATCTGTGTTTATGGCTTTCAGCTCAGGTCAGTCTGAAAAGCATTTTCAGATCACCCTCTTGAAAGACAGAATCTGACAAGGAGGGCAGCAGAAAAAAACAGGCCCCAAATGAAGACAGGACCACTAACAATGTTTTAACTTTATGCTGGTATAAAACCAATACGCATTCAATAGATATCAACTTTGTAGTTGGAGTTTGGATATTCTCCCATTCTACCCCTATGATAGTCTCCAGGGATGCCCACTAATGGCGGTGAGTCCCAGCTCCCAGTCACCATAAGATCATGAGGATAAACGATATAAACTCTGCAGTGTGTCATTGCTAAGCTAAGGTGTTGGGGGGACAGATTTGATCTTATTTTTACATAAGTAGTGCTGTAGAAATGGTATTTAACAAACTTAATGAGATTTATTTTGATGAACATAAGAAATCTAAAATTTGAAATTCTGTTGTGCTTAGCAACCTCTAGTGAAAGAGTATTTTCTTTTAAGAAGGCAGAATTCTCCAAGTGTATAGTATGCTCATTATCTTAGTATGTACTTCCAAAGCTCATAGATAATAAAAATACAAAATATATGTCATCATAAACACATACAAATACATTAAGAAACAGATCATTTACAAAATGACCTACCTACCTATCTCTTCCATTTTGAATCACTTATTTTAGACCATATAATCAATACTACCAGTCTCTGTAGAAATATGTAAACTTCTGATTATTTCATTATATTAAGTTATGTCTACCAACATATAAAGACTTTAGGTTGAACCAAATAATGTTATTTAATTTCATGTATCATGTTAAATTCTACTGACATCAAATCTCAAATTTGGTGAAATTAGCCTACAAAAGAATCAAATCCAATGAAAAAGCAAAAGAATAGAAACAAGAAGAATGACGATCAAATAGATGCTTCAAGGAGTATTCTCAATGTCGAAGAGTAATGAAGGATTTTTAAGAGAACTAAAAGTAACCAAAAATGTTTTTTTAAAAAAAATATAGACCACTTCACGAATTTGCGTGTCATTCTTGCGCAGGGGCCATGCTAATCTTCTCTGTATCGTTCCAGTTTTAGTATATGTGATGCAGAGGTGAGCACACCAAAAATATTTTTGAAAAATGATACTTAAAGTGTAATCATAAATCATACCATTATATAAAGCTGAAAACATCACGCAAAAACTCAGTTTTACAAATATTAATGTTTTAAAGAAAGTTTCTGAAGAAAAATAAAATTATTTTAATAAGTATCTTAGTTCTTAGTATTTAGTTCTTGCCATGATAAAGTTTCATTTTTTTCTACTCTTCATGGTGAAATTTTGTATCTTTCTTTAAGAGACTAAAACAACAGCATTTTATCTCGGCAAGTTCATCTTAGGTAGGTAACACAAACCTAAATACTTTTTGGCCAATTTTACTTTTCAGGAGAACCGAACATATAATCAAGACCTCTGCAGAATCTAAAACTAATCAGAGAAAAGATTCCTATACCAAGAATCATAATCATCATTTTTTTCCTCCATTTTGAAAAACTTAACAAATGTCTAGTAACCCCAATGTCACACCTCTTCTGGCTAATTCCTACTAAATCTTCCTCTCTTTAGAAGGAATGAAATTAAAACTTTATAACCCTGGTATAGGAAAAAAGTCATTATATTACATCTGATTCAAACAACAAATAGACCTTTAAACATTTGCAATCATCTATTCAAAATCTATGACCTACCCAATTCCAAAATGAAAATAAAAATCTATCTACAAATTTGATGACATTTCTAATATGTTTCTGATGAAAACGACTGCCAGTTTGGAGAAGCAAATATTCAGACTCCTTTCAGACCAATCTCAGAACTTACAGTGTTTAGCAAAAATCTTATTTAAAACTACCCAACAATAAAAACCGTGGTCAGGGTCTTTATCCTTGTTTGATGTTCCAATTAAGTTAGTTTAGATAGAACCAAAATGAACAGAGTAGCCTCTCAGTAACCTGATAAACATCTTTTAAATCACACATACTTGTGTATGTTTCTTACACATGTGTCCACACTTACACAACAGTGTATATATTTATGTACTATATATATTTTTTTAACTTGTACTAATGTATGAATCAAGATATTCAGGCTCAAATGTAAGTTTTATTTTATTGTACAATCATCAGAAAAGAAAAGGATTAAGTCTGGAAAGCTATACTCACAATCATTCACAGAACAATCTAAACATCCAGAGGCTATGTATTCAACACCCATCTAAGAAATCTGCATTTTATTTTTATTTTATCTTTTTGGTACTGGGGATTGAGCTCAGGACCTTGTGCTTGGCAGGCAGGTGCTTATGCTGCTGAGCTACTTCCCCAGGAAAATCAGCATTTTAACTCCACCCATTCTAGGGACATGCACCATCATAAGGCTACAAATTATAAATATATATAAAATTGAATAATATATTTTCCTATTCTATTCAATAATAACTTTAATAATGTCTCCAGACTGAGTGGTCTGATGCAATGGAATAATGAGTATTAATTATGGAGTGACAATATTCCCAATTTAGAATCTTTACAGTATGTAGGCCTATAACCCTTCCTAAACTAATTCTAAAAGACACCTGACTCACAACTGGACAACTGTTCATCATTTTCTCTGTGTGCTACAGAATGCAAGACTGCCACACAATTCTGGCATTTTCTAGACCCACAAAATTCAACTCAAGCACAGTCACTGTAAAACTTAATTCATATGCTTATCTAAACAATGTAAAGGCCTGAGGTTGAGGTAGAAAAGTAGAAAATAAGAAACAACAGGCTAAAAGGTAAGCCAGACTGTGCATGTATGTATTTGGTGAAAAAAGAGGGAAAGGTACAGAGAAGTCTCAAAGATGAGAGATTCCATTTGTGGCTCTGTGTTATCACCTCATTGTCATTGAGAAATTCACGTGGTGACAACGAGCTTTTATGATTAATCTGACATAAACTTGACAAGCAAAGTAACCAAGAAAAAAAAATGGAAAGAATTATCCCTGAAGCTCAGGAACCAGATCAGAACAACAAAAGTGAACTCTGAGTCCCCAGAAGTGTGAGGGGAAGGCTCTCCTCTCGAACTGAAGCCAGTAATGCCCACCTGCCAAGGCCACAGCACTGCGCTCCCCATTAAACTTGTGCATTCATTCATTTTTGTCCCTACTACTTCAGAAATGGGGATATTGGCTGCATTTGTACAGAACGGGAATTGAGCCTTGAAAAAATTTAAGTAGCCTGATGAAGGAACCAAGGTATTCTGCATTCAAAGCCACCTTTTTTATTTTCTCAAAATATACTGTATGGTCTCTTAGGCATAATACTTAAGAACATGGAGTGAATGAGATTTCTAAGCAAGTAAATGTGGAGAAGAACTGAGGGTCAAACACAGGACTTAGAATTTGTCTCTACCCTACAAAGCCTTGGTGTCTTCTAGCATTGGGTTCTTTCCATACCTCCCAATAGGCTCCATAACAGCCTCCATACCTGTGTACACTGGCCATAGGACTTGATTTCTATTAGCAGCTGAGCCCCAGAGCCCTACTTCATGACAGAGAAGCACACACAAGAGGCCAAAGTACTAACTGAATCCCCTGTGCTGCTAATCAGTTTCTACTTGCTTTGCTTATTGTTAGAGTTCTTCATTTTTAGTACAGAGTACTATTTTTATTCAGTATTCATTATTTTACCTAACAACTAAGTTTTCATGCTGTGGGATGGGCCTGAGTCTTCTAATACTGGCAACTTCTAAGCAGTTTTGGGAATTTCGTCGTTGGAACCCCTTCCCACACCAAGATACTATAGTTTACAGATTCTGCTCTTTATCCAAGTTGGCTAATTTGGCTTCTAATCTTGTGCTTGCCTGGCATTGTGTGGTGGTATTTCTGTTGAAAACAATTTAATTGTCTACTTATGTAAATTCAGCACTAAATATATTCTTTCACTCTTTGTAGGAAACACTTTCCAAACTTCTCACGGGCTAGTCTTCTGGGTATTCTCTTTAATATGTTATCCATTCTACTTATAACTTCCATGGAAGAAAGAAGGATAATGCAAGAATAAATTCTCTCCTTTGGCTTTCTTTTTCATTTTTTCCTCAATGTCTGGATATCTCATCTAGTAGCATTGTAGTAATATGTTATTAAAGCTTTTCCACTTTATCTAAAGAATTAGTGAATCTAGCCATGGACTTTTGGATCTTCATAAAGAACAAAGAATAAAAATTGATTGTTAGATGAAATTAAACAGTTTTTCAAATCTGTTTTCTGAACAAACGATTGTTATAGTAAAGGCAAGTGTTCAAAGAAGTCAGAGAAAAAACATCACTTCACAAGTACACAAGGAAAGGTTTCTGGCTCTGAGCTTTGGTCACAGCTCTCGATGGTGTACAGCTGTGCCAGGTGGAAACACTGAGTCATGAAGAAGGAAGAGCAAATCTGATAGGAAGGTCGGCACTCGTGAACTTACCGAAACAACCACTATGGGACATAAAGCCGCAACACTGCTCTCTGCAAGTATGTGCAGCAACTTCTGGGTGTTTTGGAAATCAGTTGTAACCTAGAAGACCAAGAAAGTAAAAAGAAGCTTTTACATGATTTAGA